GACAATTGGTCACGGTCGCGAGACTAAGAGCGAGATCGAATTACATTCGTCTCGGTACGGTCCGCGGGCAAGGGGGACGTCTGATATAGTCCAGTCAAATTAGACAAAAAAAAGGCTTTTGCTCGGAAGTGAAGCGGTATTTATGAAACCTTTTTAGGGTTGTTGGGGGGATGTAGAAGAGCTTATTTCTGAGTTGTCGGGTTAATCGGACCGATGGGTTTTTAAGGGGGGGAGGGGGAATGAAAAATTTCGTTTTTTCGCAATAACTCGGCGAATTTTGACCGTACATGATTGATTAACCTCTCATTTTGTAGCTCTTTTAAAGCCTCTGGAAGTCGCGCTTTTAACGCGTGGCCGATCGTCGCCGGCGGCGGCGCGCCGCCGCGGCGACGATCGGCCACGCGACGGTGCGTGTCGAGTCGAGTGCGCTCGACAAAAAATGTTAAAAACGCGACTTCCAGAGGCTTTCCTGGGCTCAATTTTTAACGAATCTGAACGACTGACCTCTCGTTTTGTAGGTCTCTTCAAGCCCTACAACTTTGTCAGTGGCGGCACATTCCTATCTATTAATGGAAACGAGATAAACGCAAAAAACCGCGACAAAATACATTTTTTCCCACTTTCACCGGCTAGAACTCGACAAATATTGATTTTAAGTTAGGGTCTTCACGAAATGAATTGTAGGGCTTTAAAAGAGCTACAAAATGAGAGGTTAATCAATCATGTACGGTCAAAATTCGGCGAGTTATTGCGAAAAAACGAAATTTTTCATTCCCCCTCCCCCCCTTAAAAACCCATCGGTCCGATTAACCCGACAACTCAGAAATAAGCTCTTCTACATCCCCCCAACAACCCTAAAAAGGTTTCATAAATACCGCTTCACTTCCGAGCTCAAATGTCTAATTTGACTGGACTATGAGCCTCACTGTTGAGACTCGAATTTTTGTTCTTAAGTAAACAATTTGTTAATAAATAAGTAAAAATGAGAGAATGTGTTGAAAACAGCTTTGCAATATGGTTCAATAATAATGCAAAAAATTACGTAAATTTTAATAAAAAACAATTATTTTATAGCGTTTTCCACTGAGAAAACTGGTGCAGCACCAGCGCTGTGGTAGGTTTCAATGAAAACTCCATTAGTGCACTAATAGTGCAGGTTTAGTGCGGTTCAGTGGAACACATCATTATTTGTAGTACTCGTGCATCACCGCCGAGAACCGAGACGCCTAACCTCGTTAAACTGTTTATATTGTATAGATGATTCGAAGCATCGAAGTATTATATAGAAGTCTGTGAAGTAAAATTATTTATTATAAGATGGGATCTTCGAGTGACGAACTGACATTTCAACTAAATGATGACATTTTTTGTTTTAACACTAAAAAGATGAAAATAAAGGATGTCAAATCAATAAAAGGTAAAAATGTCCTCAATGAAAATATTTTACTGAAAATATAATAAAATTTTATTAAAATGTACTTGAAATTTTTTCTCAATTGGTCCTATTTCATTATTTCATCAATATTTTAATAAAAATTCAGTTTTTAGTTTAATTCAATAAATTTCATGCATGATGATCTAATATTTCAAAAAATTTGTTATTACTTATCTTTAACAGTATAATATAACTTTTCTTATATTTCGCAGTATTACATTACATTTTATAATAGAAATTATGATTTACGTTAAAGTATATTCAGTAATTTTTAAATAATTTTTATTTTAATTTTCATCAATTTCATAGTACTTTCAGTAAAATATGTCTGTCAGGGGTTTTAAATAATTTTATTACATATACTGTTTTACATATAAAAGTTGAATATAGTATATTTATTTTTAGAGGATGATAAATATGCAGTTAAATATTTAATAAACTTAATAGAGAATGAATTTATCAACCTGCAAGATCCATTACAAATCATCTACAAAATTGTAAATAATGAGCAAATTGTCATATATGAAGCAGATAAAGAGGAATCTTGTCAATTACAGTCAGAGTTAGAACAGGCTGCAGAGGAAGACGGAACCCGAGGTGCAAAAAAACGATCAGAATGGGGCAAACAAGATACCGAAATACTATTAGAAAAATATGAAATTTATGTAAAACTGGTAGGACCAATGAAAAAGTTTAAGAATAAAAAAGTAATGTGGGAAAAAATTGCTCAAGATATTGAAGACACTATAGGCCGAAAGTACACTTCCATCCAAGTAGAAAATCGATTTAAAACATTATTAAAAAGAAAGAAGGACGCAATTCAGCATAATAAACGTTCTGGCAATGACAGAGTCGATGTTCCATACGAAGACCAGCTAGAAAAAATCGCTTCCTTAGATGACAGTATCAAGCAAGAGATGTTAATGAGTATTAACAACACAAGAATACTAAAAAATAACGAATCAAGCAGCGACCAGTCTACTAGTTCATCAAGTGCAGTGAAAATGATTCCAGAGAAAAAAACTGTACACTTCCTGAAAAGAAAAATTGAAAAGGAGACAAAAGAAAATAAAAAGAAATCAGTTCAAGAAACTTTATTGGAGATACATCAATTAAAAGAAGAGAGCAAGGAAAAACGTCACAAAGAAAAACTGGCACTTATTGAAAAACTTTTTAAGAAAGATATGTAAAGTGTACGTTTAAAGATACTACTTTTTAAAGATATTAGATATTTTTTATAAAGATAAATATGTAGTTTTATACCAAAGTTTATTTTTGTTTGAGATTATATTCGAGTTTAACTACTTTAATTCTGTGAAGATAAAACGTAAGACGTTAATGTAGTTTTATACCAAAAAGTTTATTTTTGTTTGAGATTATATTCGAGCTTAACTACTTTAATTCTGTGGAGATAAAACGTAAGACATTAATGTAGTTTTATACCAAAAAGTTTATTTTTGTTTGAGATTATATTTGAGCTTAATTCTAAGTCATAAAAAGTTACTTTTTTGTTATAAAAACGAAAAAAACAAATGTTTTTGTTGCACAAAATAGTACAAACTGCTTATTTACGT